GTCCCAGTACGGACCCCTGCGAGACACCACTTGTCACTGGTCTCCATCCGGACATTGAGCCGTTGACCACTGCCCTCTGGATGTGATCATGTAACCAATTCCTCACCCACCGGACAGTCCACCCATCAAATCCATCCCTCTCCAGTGTAGAGAGAAGGATGTTGTGGGGGACTGTGTCAAAGGCCTTATAGAGGTCCATGTAGGGTTCTTCTGGAGCATCATTTCTGTATCGCTCCATCCTACCAATGTTGGATGTGACCATCCAACCAATTCCTTATCCACCAAACAGTCCATCCGTCAAATCCCTATCTCTGGTCTGCAACCTCCTCTGCTAAGGACGTCCCTGCCACTAAGAATGGTGCCAGCGGGGGAGAAACAATCCTCTTCCAAGGGCCAGAGCGGTCAGGAAGGCTTTAATCTGGCAAGCCGCTGAAATTAAGCATATGCCGGATTTGCTTAATTACAGCCCAAGAATGACGGAGCCTTTGCATCTTGCAGAATAACAGGGTTTTTTCATGCATTTAGAATGCAAGTGGCAAATTCAGCCCCGCAATCAAACAGAGGAGGACAAGCGTGACCCAGACCCAATCATACAACACGGGGAGATCTTCTGCTTATTTTAACGAGGTTTTTAATTCACTGCCGTGGTACGGGGGAGTAACGCTTTCTGGTGCTACAAAATAAGCTCAGAGCTGCAGAGCCCAGTGCTTTTGTAAGGAGCCCTTGAAAAGGCCGATTGCTGATTTGCAGTCTTCCAAGCATGCATCACCTAAAACATTTCATCCAGGCAGGATTTGGCTTTCCTGGAGTCTAATTCTTCCTTTTCCTGCTCATCAACAGCAAGCTCTGGTGGACCGCGATCCTGCAACTAGATCTGGCCATATCCCGGAGCGGGAGGTGGTGCAGGGACAGGAGAAACTCGTGATGCCCAAAAATTGGTACCCGCGGCATCGCCATCTCCTCCCCGTCCTCCCGCTTGCCTGTGCCAGCAGAGAGTTACTCTGATGGAGGGCGTCCAGGCTTTATTTAATGCAGTTTCTAAAAATCAGGTTTTGTGGTAGAGCAACATTAAGTGCAAGAAGCAGGAAGCATTTAAAAAAAGAGAAAAAAAAAAAAAAAAGAAAGAAATCTTTTGTCAAAATGGTTCTGGCAGATCGGCTGCAATTTTCCTTATTCCCAGCCGTTGCCAAGACAACCAGCCTTTGCACTTCGGGTGCCCAAAAAACAGACCCAGGCTGGATGGTAAACCCACCTGGAGCCTTCTCCCCGGGTGATGCTGGTTTCGGGGGGCCGGGGGATCAGGGAAGGGGCAGGGGAGCTCCAAGGCAGCAGCCGGTGGGGTCCCAGCTGGCACGCCTCCCCTATAGCCCCCATTCCTCCAGCAGCAACACTGGGCATTTATCCATGCTTTAAATATTAAATTACCTTATCAGCACAATTGCTTACGGAAGTCAAGCCCAAACAACAGGTCAAGAGGCAAAAAACCTTCCTAAAAATGAACGAGCTGCTTTCTAATAGCCCTTTTTATCTCCGCCTTTCCGGGTCTGAAAACCCTGCCTGAGCCCAGGGCACCCAGAAGAAGCTGGAAGTCATTTGGGGAATGTTTTTAGGCATGGGAAGCTGTGGATTGCTTGGGGACCAGCGAAACCACTAATTGCTTCTCACGGTCAATCTGCATGGAAAATAAACTCAGCACGGTAAGGGCTTGGCGTCCTCAAAGTACCTCACGCAGCCACGGATGCCTCGTAGCATGGGCACGGGTCAGGGTCAGCATCTCAAGCCCACAGGCTTCACATGCGAGGAGGCCAATTAGGAAATTACTCCTCAGCCTGAATAGATAATAACTGTAATCTAAACATGGATTTTAAATCAAATCATACAGGGTAGGTTGTTTACAAAGTGGCATCGACTGAGCAGTAACGCACCTCTGCGTTCCTTCCCGCAGAAAGGATGCATCGATACCCGACCCAAGCACGGAGGGTAATTTTTAGTCATGAGCTAGCTGATTTAATTAATTTCCTTTTTTATGATGACCTCAGGTTTTCCAGGGCTACTTCTATTAGCGATGTGCTGCTGTCCCCGCTTCGCCCCGAGGCACTCTGCTCCCCATCACCCAAGGGGCTGGCTCCCTCCAGGGCTCCCGGCTGCAGCGAACCACCTAGAGCCACATGTGAACACGGACACGGACACGGACACGGACACGAGGGGATTGACTCCGGCTGAATGATGCTCTGGTAAGCCGGCTGGCCCCACGTTGGTCATTTAAGCGATGTAAAGGCACATTCCCAAGACTGCACTGCGAAATACGTGGATTTACTGTGGATGTACGGACGCTGCTCTCTCTCACGGTTTTCTTTGCTCTGCCATTGCTCTCGTAGGGTGCCTTCTCCCAGTGTAACCCAAATACTGGGGTTTTGTTGAAGATCTGCCGCCTTCTCCTGCACTGCTTTATATTCCCATGCCTGTTTTTAGCACCCAACGCACTCCTCAAAACCCACATGCCATTCCCAGCCTAATTTCTAAGCCCCTTCTGCATTTTTGCCTCCATTAGACTGAGCACCTCTTTAGCCAGGCTGCCAACTCCCCATTAGCTCCATCCATGTGCTTCCAGCACCCATTTTCCATCCTTTCCACCAGTCAGACCCTTCCTTCGATGCCGACCCCCTTCCCATCCCTTTTGCATTAACTCCTCCATCTGCAGAGTCACCTCTTGCAGAGTTTTATTAATTCTGACACCTTCACTCCAGGGCTCAGGGGAGACCAGTGTGGTACGAGGAGGGATTAAGCAGGTCTGGAAAAGCATGCAGCGCGGCGCAGGAGAGCTCCCCACGGCCTCTGAGCATCTTTTGGAGATACAGAAGAGGCCAAAAACGTGTCAGGGGAGAGCCTCTCTCCCCAGGAATTCTGAAATCCAGGCTGGCTTTCTGTCTCAAAAACGATGCCACGTTTCACCTCCCAGCTATTGGGCTCCCAACAGAAACCTCAGAGTAAATTGTTGGACTGTGTCACGTCAGCAATTATGCTCTTACAGTCAATTAAATGAATCAGATGAAGATGTTGCTTCCTTTTGGTCTTTGAACGTGTAATTTTATCAGGCGGTTTCAATGCAAGAAGGCGGCTGCGGGATGGTGCTGGCCATCCCCAGGGAGGAACCCCCCCAGC